GTACTCTATCCTTATTGGAGGAATGATGCTTTGCAAGTTAGAAATACAGCACAGGCAAATTCATTCTCTATTTCAAAAGGATTGAAGTTTCTTTTCGCTCAGATACTCATTTGTTCTGTAAGGGAAAATACCATCAAGTTAAAATACCACTCTAGTAGAAACAAATAAAGAAGCTTTCCATTATGAGCCTGAAACTATGTTGATGGCTTGAAGCAAAAAGACAAATACAATGGTCTGCACAGCATTACTATTTGGAATACCTGTATTGACAATGCATGACCTGTATAAAACAGTTCCTAACAAAGTCTTCCACTGTTTCATAAGAATAAAACAGAGAAAGGAATGGAATTCTTAGTAACATAAAGGGTGAAATTAAATTCCTGTGCAGATCGGGACATAAGAAAGAGCCTGCCAATGCCTTCAGCTTGAATAAATTGCTTTTCTGAGCAGACAAGGAGAAAAAGGAAACAAAATCACTTCATTAGAAAATGATTTACTGATGAGTGATGATACTTCACCTAAGACTCAAAAGGCTTATTTACGCTAAACCTGTTGTAAGAAAAGTGCTTAACAATTGTTTATTGCACAATGCATTTTTTTCCTTATACAATCTCATATCTAAAGCAGAACACAAAACAAAACACATTACTGCATTTGTTTTCTAAGGCTTTTAAACCTTCTTCCTCAATTTGACAGCTGCTCTTAAAAGGTAAGAGGCTGAATTCAAAACTTGAAAATGAAAATAGCTGGTTATGCTATGACATCAGGGAGAAGATACTTTTCTGAATAAGCGGGAGAGTTTTCACAGCTCTTGTAACACACTTTCAATTGAAACAGGCTGACATAAAGTAATATCAAGATTTTGTCCATGCTATTTGCTCATTTAATGCAAGAACTGTGAGAAAATAGGAACAAAATGACAGTATTTAGATGCGCAACACTTTCTTTCTCGGTTGTTTATGCAACTCTCGTCCGCGTTACTAGCGTACCATGCTTGCTACTCCATGATGCCACATGCCAGCTCAGTGACTAATGAGCCGGGATCTGTATAACTTAATATTACATCTGATATTCTCATTAGAAGCTTCAGCTGGGGCAAAATTCAGCTGATTACTGAAAACGAGTTTGCTGAACCCTTCAGGCAACCCCTTTACAGTCTGATGTAGAGCTCCTCTAGCCAAGGAAGTAGGGAGGCAGAGCCACACTAG